TCAGAGGGAGCTGGCCGACCGACCGGGACTGTGCCGGTCCACACTGAGCCGAGCCATGCCAGCCGTGTGGGACGGAACCATCCGAATGTCAGCCAGATACATCAAGCTCCCACAGTGCAGCTGAACAGGACGACATGAACGTGCAATTTGTAGCGACGGCCGGTTCTGCTGATGGAATCGGAGCTACCGACTGCACACATAATAGCGGCGACTGTCCACTCAAACAGGGTGAGTTCATCCTGGTTACTGTTATCTGTCGGCCCTGTTTATACTCATTTGCATATTTAAATTGGGGGCGTGGAGGGGGAGGAGTCTGGTTCTCCAACATGTGGTCAGTTCCACGCTGAGTGAGATGTACAAAGGAAATGTGCTGGATTCAGGCGTACGCTCACTGTGGTTCATCTGGATTTGTTTGTGCGTTCGCAGGTTTCAGGATGAAATCCACGCAAGTCTTTGTACACGAGGCCCCTGGTCTGGGGGAACTCACCTCCTGCAGCCCCCTCCTCTCGATTTCAGCCACACAGTCCACGATCAGCACAGGAACTCGGGGATGAGTCGGTGGAGCAAAGCCCTCCAACGAGTCCTGAAACAGCAGAGATTTACTCAAACATACAGTAACTTAAATCTTGTTTGATGCTGAATATTCAGGCCTGTTTGGGAGCAAATACAACAGATGAAAGTGAAACCCAGTAATCGGATTACTTTGCTGCTGTAGATTACAGTTTTGATATGAACTTGTTCAGTCATTTCATATTCAACAGTGAATGACATAAGTTCTGGACGGTCTGCAGCGTATCAGGATTCTCAGGCAGCTTCTGAACCGTCTTTTCATCAGACATGATGATACAAAGTCTGAATGTGAGACCCGATCGAGTCTAAATGAGACTCGGCTCCCAGAAGCGAACCCGACTCACCATCTGAACGGTTCCTCTTGTTGTTGCATTGGAGGCCGAGCAGCCGTCTGTGAATTTCTGTTTGCACTCTGGATGAGCGACCACGCGACAGTTCCTGCACTTCACCGCCATCTTCCCAAAGCGGATCCTCTTCCCGCAGGGCTGGCAGGTCTCCGGCCGGATCACCTGGAGACAGGCGACTGTTAGAGGACGTACAGGGGTGTGACGGTACTGAGACTGTCGGCTGGGTTTTACCGTCTTTGACAGAAAAACATGGCTGCTGGCTCTTGGAGTTCTGCAGGCGTGAACAGATCTGTCTCTTGGTGGAGCTTCAAGTTCAGGTTCAACCACGGTGTCATCGCAGGGGAACCACACGGAGGTTTGGTCTGAGGAACAGAGCGAAACATCATCAGGGTCTCAGATCTTCTGTTGTCTGGAACCCAGTTAGGAAGCACATTTTCTGTCGTCATATGTTTGTTTGTCAAACATGTTCATCAGTCACATTAAGTTGTATTTAGAAAGCGCCAAATCACAACAAACGTCTCATCTCAGAACACAGCAGATGGACAACAATCAGCAGTTTGGAGATCACGAAAAACAGAGACTGCACATCAGAGATGTGAAGCTCCAGATCCAGTTACAAGGTTCGAGGTTCCACAACCTCCAAAACACGGCTGACAGTTCTTTGCCCACTAACATCTCCTGGAAGGCTTCAGTACAAGGCGACCCGAGATGAGAACCATGAAGTGGCAGTGAGCTCGCACAGCCTTAACACAAGGCCGTTCAGACAACCTCCTGAGCTCTGCATGATGACCAAACCCTGGATGACCAGAGAGGAGAAGCAGCTGCTGAAGGAGAGAAACTCAGCCTTCAGAGCTGGCGACAGGGCTCTCTACAGCACAGCCTGAAGAGAGGCATGAGGAAGGCCAAGGAGGACTTCAGGAGGAACATCGACGACCACCTGGACAGCAACAACAGCAGGCAGGCATGGATGGGGGTCCAGCACCTCACCAACTACAAACCCGGCATCAGAGCTGCTGAGGGCGATGCTGAGCCGGCAGAAGAACTCAACCTCTTCTTCGCCCGCTTCGAGGCTGAACCACCAGGAGCAGCCACGGCGCCACCAGCGGCCGGGAGCAGCTCCACCCTCACGGTGGGGGTGCACGAGGTGAGGCGCACGCTGAGGAGGACCAACCCACGGAAAGCGACGGGCCCTGACGGCGCCTCTGGACGGGTATTGAAAGACTGTGCAGACCAGCTCGCTGGAATCTTCACGAAGATTTTCAACCTGTCACCGACAAAGTCTGCAGTCCCATCCTGCCTGAAGACCTCCACTGTCATCCCCCTACCCAAGAAATCCCCCACAACCAGCCTCAACCACTACCGGCCAGTGGCACTCACACCAGTGGTGATGAAGTGCTTCAAAAAACTGGTCAGGAGTCACATCATGACCTTCATAACCCCCAGCTTGGACCCATACCAGTTTGCCCACAAGGTAAACAACAGAGGACGCCGTGAACGCAGCGCTACACTCAGCGCTGACCCACCTGGAGAAACCAGGGAACTACGCCCGCCTTCTCTTTGTAGACTATAGTTCAGCCCCACGGTCTCGTGAGGAAACTGCTGAACCTCGGTCTACCTCATTCCACCTGTCTCTGGATTCAGGACTTTTTATCAGAACACCAACAGCGGGTCAGGATTGGGCCCTACACCTCTGCACCCCTCACACTCAGCACCGGTTCCCCTCAAGGCTGCATGCTCAGCCCCCTGCTCTTCACCCTCTACACCTCAGACTCCATCCACACCAGCAACACCTTCATTAAGTATGTGGACGACACCACAGGTGATGAGTCCACGTACCGGGATGAAGGTGAAACAGCTGCTGTGTGTTGTAGAGACAACAACCTGCTCCTGAACACATCCAAGACCAAGGAGCTCATCACAGACTTCAGCAAGAACAGAATGGACATTCAACCCATTCTGATTGGTTCCTGTGTGGAAAGGCTCAGTGACTTCAGCTTCCTGGAGTTCACACTGAGGAGAAACTGACCTGGAATACGAACGCCACACAGCTGGTGAAGAAGGCACAAACAAGACTTCCTGAGAATCCTCAGGAAGAACAACATCAGCCAGAGACTGCTGGTGTCTTCTTACCGCTCCACCATGGAGAGCATCCTCACCTTCTGCCTCTGGACGTGCTCTGCCAGCTGCACAGCAGCAAACAGGAAAGACCTCCAGAGGGTCACCAACATGGCTGAGAAGGTCACTGGGTGGCCTCTGCTCACACTGGAGGACCTTCATGGCTCTTACTGCCTCAGGAGAGCCAACACCATCCTGAAGGACTCCTACCAGCAGGGCCACTTCCTGTTGGAGCTGCTGCCGTTGGGCAGATGGTACAGGTCCATCAGAACCAGGACCAACAGACTGCTGTGAGAACAATAAACACCTCCACTGCCTCTGCCCAGTATCCACTCTGTGCAGTATGCACTGTGCTCATTATTTAATTTCATCTTTTATATAGAGTTCTTTCTGCTTGTTTTATATATTTATATATATTGTATTGTATGTAGTGTTTTACAAAGTTTTTTATTGTTTTACAAACTTCTTATATGCACCTTATGTTTCATTGTACTCGTTACAATGACAATAAAAGAGATCTGAATCTGAATCTAAACAGGTCTTTTCAGATCTTACTGAAGGTAACAGAACTCAGTGGATCCAGAAGAAACAGAATCTCCGTCAAAGCTTTGGATCTTTAATCAGTTCAACTGTTTCAGGACTGCAGGTCAGAAGGACCTGGAAGCTGAATCCAAACAGCTGCTGACACAATGCTTCACTCAGGATTCTTTCATGTCAGATGGTCAGCCATGTTTCACACTGTCCAAAGTCTTCAGGAGCACAAACAGCTGATCAGTCATGTGACCTAAATGTTCACGTCATCAGAACTTATTCAGAAAAGCTGCTTCCATCTCACGTTAACTCTTTTAGAAAAAGTCAGAAACCATCTCAAGAGAACTTTGCCAAAGTGAAGACCATAAAAAGGAGGCGATGTAACCGCCAGCGACCAGTGATCTGGTGAACATGGACCAATCAAAGAGCAGCTTGATGCCAACACAGCGCCCACCTCCTGCCTCTGATGCAGCACAGTCCTGGCTGAGGGTCCTGGCCGGGTGTTCGGGGGTCTCCTGACTGATTCCCACCACCATGTGGATCTGACCTCCGGCCTCAGCGGTCATCAGAGACGCCTTCACGATCGTCTCCACGTCCTGATCAAACACAGTCAGCTTCAGATTTACAGAGTGATGAGGAGCTTCTGATGTAAACCAGAGCTTCAGCCAGAAACCTGTGTTCACAGCAGGAGCACTGGTTTGCATTCAGTCATTAAAACCAACCACTGAGCGAGTCTGTTTCTGTTTCAGCCCACAGTGCTGTCTGCAGGCTTCATCACACTGAATTCAGCTACAGCTGCACCCTCTGAACCAAAACACCTGCCGGCATGTTTGCAAGACGTTATCTTAAAATCCCCAGAATGGCCTCATTCATCAGCTAGAACCTGGAAAGAAGAGTCACATTTCTGACAGTCCTTCAATGTGTTATGTACAGTCAGCCAAATCTGAGCTTAAAATTCTAACATTTCTGGTTCTGATCCTCCACCACTGACCCAGATGTGACCAAAACATCCAGAGAGCTTCAGGTGAGCTGCAGCCAGAGTTTCCTCAGAGAGACTGAAGGAGAATCCATCCTACTGGATCAATGAATAGATGCAGCACGGATCAGAACCAGAGACCAGAGGAGCCCATTGGTGGAGATACATTCATCTGATGGTGGAACATCTCTCTACAGCTGATGGTGGAACATCTTTCTACAGCTGATGGTGGAACATCTACAGCTGATGGTGGAACATCTTTCTACATGATGGAGGAACATCTTTCTACATCTGATGAACAGAGCAGAGAGGAAAAGTCTGGAACATGGAGATAGTTGAACATCTGCAGGACGAGGAGACCACATGAGCTCCAGTGTTGGAAACATATTGGACATGATGGTTCCAGGTTTTTACATTAAAAAAAAAACAAAAAAAAACAGAGAAACGTCTGTGCTGTGGTCTCCGTGGTTCTGAGTCCTGCTGACAGCAGACGTCTCTGGTGTTCTGTCTCCTCCTTCATGTTCTGGTTCCACAGAGCTGCTGGACTTGATGATGCAGAGGAACATGAACCTCAGTGAAGGAACATGAGACAGAAAGCGTCTGATGGTGGGAAGTGTTTGCTCTGTTCACCTTCTCCACGGTTTTTCTCTCCAGCAGCTCTGCAGACATGTTTCCTCCTCGGGAACGCTTTACAGCTGGAGCCCCGAACGCCGGACCCATCGATGAACGCTGCAACATCAACAGGGCAACAGAGCAATGAGAACACACAGCAACAAGACAGCACAGAAACTGTGGTTGCCAATCATGTCTTTTGATTCTGTCTCTTGAAGGATTTTACAGGAAAAGGTTCATTTGTAAAACAATGAAATCTGTTGCTGTACTCTGAGTTGCTGATTGTCACTAAACTCAAACCGGACCAACGTCACAGATCGACATGAAACACAAGCATCCAAGCTAACGAACAAAACAAGCACGTAAACAGGAAGGATGTCTCACCCTCCTCTCTCTGGCTCGAGATCTCAGAGGTTTAATCACAGTGGTGTCCAAATCCTGAAACACACGGAGTCCCAGCAACCATCAGTCAGTCAGCAGGTCCTGAACCACGAAGCAGGTTCAACACATCCACACTTTCTTTGCTCGACAAAAAACTAAACCCCAGTCAGAAATATCAGAGGGCTGTACTACGAAGCCAGATCAGTGGGTTATCAGGTATGTTGAGCTTAAAGTCAGATCTAGGTCTCCATGGCAACTGATGCTGTGGAGCTTGGTCTCCATGGCAACTGATGCTGTGGAGCTTGGTCTCCATGGCAACCGATGCTGTGGAGCTAACCTGGTCAGGAGCAAGTTATGTTCAGAGTTTCAGATTTAAATCGGCTGAAGGAGCGTCTCCCTTTAACCAGACGGCTTCCCGACTATTATTTTTTTTGGGGGGGGGGCGGCTGTGGCTCAGGTGGTACAGCGGGTTGGTCAATGATTGGAAGGTCAGAGGTTCGATTCCGCCCTGTAACCTGTGTCATGGTCGTTGTGTCCTTGGGCAAGACACTTCACCACCTGCCTGGTGTGGATGCGTATGGATGGATTGTTGAGGTGGTGGTCGGAGGGCCAGGCCTCTGTCAGTCTGCCCCGGGGCAACTGTGGCGACAACCGGAGCGACCACCACCGGGATGGATGTGTGTGAATGAATAACTGACAGTGTGAAGCGTCTTTGAGTGTCTAGAAAAGCGCTGAATAAATCTGATCAATTATTAGGGTCCAAGCACTCAAAGGGTGGAAATACACACCTCAATAGAAAAATGGCTCCACAGCGCCACCTTGAAAATTTCAATGGAGTCCCATCGGAAGCACGTTTGCCCTAGAGCTACGCAGTTTCATTGGCATATAGAGCTGGTCAGGATGAACAGAAAAGTCCACCCACTCCAAGCTCTAAAATGCAACACGGCTCAACTGGTGACTAAAAGTTATCAAAACGCTCCGCAGATGAGGCCCGGTTTGGAAATGGCGCCCCGTCCAATTTCGATCAATGGCCATTTTGTCCATTGTCGGGGTGTTTCTGGCATTTATCAGAGTCCTATTGGACTAAACCCAACAGGAAGTCTGTCATTTTGAAAAAACACGGCGACAATTTTGGCTGACTTTTGGCTATTTTCAACATCTATCTCCTCCCAGGAGGTTCGTCGTACACACCTGAAAGTTGTCCAGCACAAACTACAGGAGGTGGTGATTAAAAGTTATTGAAACAGTCTGCAGAACTCTGCCGGCGTGGAAATGGCGCCTCCTGGAATTTGGCCACAACGCCATAAAACACCAGAATAGGAGACGTGCTGTGGAACTGGCCTGTCTGTGCTCCGATCTGCCTGAAACTTTACACGCGTGCTCTGAGTCTCAGCCAAAGCGTGTTTCCATCACAGTTAACACGCACGCCGCCGCGGCTCGCCACTAAACAGGAAGTGGCTCGTAACTAGGCCGCACGTGCTCCAATCTGCCCCAAACTCGACACGCCGGATCACAGTCCCGCCCTGAGCACTTCTGCGCAACCCGACGAGTGCGAAGGCAAGTGTACGGCGAGGACCTGTCCAATGCCGCTTGCGGCTTTAATTGTTATTATTATTTATGAGCAATGCAGATTCTCAGCTGAGGGAATGTGTTCATCTGCTAACATGCTGAAATGTGTGTTACTAATATCACTGAATGATGCCGTGGAGTTGCAGCATCACACACTGTAAATATCACGTTGCCATGGGAAGCAGACGTGTACTTAGTCTCATAATGCAGTAAATCACTTTATGAATTACAAACCAAAGTGAATCAGTGTTCCTGATTGGATGTTCTCTGTATTAAATACCAATAGATGATCGATGTTCTGGTCAGTGATCGATCAGCTGCAGGACCAGCAGAGTAAACATAGAAACATGCTGATGTGATTTCTGCATCAGCAGCTGAACACATGTAGGTTTCCATGGCAACAGGATGCCTCCAGTGTGTGATGCTGTAACTGCTTCATTCAGTGTTTCAGTAACGTACAGATCAGCAGGTTCACAGAGAAACACCATCATCAGGAACACCAGTTAAAGGGAGACGCTGAGCAGGACCTGGACCAGGTTAGCACCAGTTACCATGGAGACCTAGCTCCACAGCATCAGTTACCATGGAGACCTAGCTCCATAGCATCAGTTACTGTGGAGACCTAGCTCCACAGCATCAGTTACCATGGAGACCTAGCTCCATAGCATCAGTTACTGTGGTGAGAGACATCTTCATGTGACTGAAAACTCTGACTCAACATACCTGCTGACCCACTAATATTTTGTGTAGCTCAGCCCTCTAATCAACACATCAACACAACACTATACAGTGATACTGGTTTCCAAATACACATACAAAATGTATTGATGTGTGTGTGTGTGTGTGTGTGTGTACAAATACATGTAGCATATTGTGGTGAGTGCGCTAAAGCTCAGAGCTGTGTGTCCATACCACGTCATCGTCTGTGCGGTCGTAGCTGATGTCAGAATGCGACAGGAAGGATGACTCGTCGATGACAGAGAGCCTGACGTCAGAGCAGATTTAATTAGACATTCCTTAACGTCTGAATTAATGCAGCTGATCCAGAAGCGTCATCATGTTTTCAGGATAACTTAATTATTTTCACTCAGCTTTACATTTTAGATCTTTATTTTAGTCTGTGTTGGTCAATGCTGGTCTGCAATAATCGATTTGTCATCAATCGATGTGATCGACTCACCGTTTGCTGCTCCTCTGCAGAGTCACGTTTCCTGCTTTGTGTTCAAACGTCGCCAACAGAGATTTCTGCTCATCGTTCAGGCAGGCGCTCGATTTACTGTCGTGGACCAGAATGTCGCACATGAGCTGCATCTGCCGCTGCTGGAGACACACAGAGCCGTCAGCGCCCCCCGCAGGCTGCATTAAACACTGCTGTCAGCGCCCCCCGCAGGCTGCATTAAACTGAGCTGTCAGCGCCCCCC